AATACTGTGATATCTACCCAAAAAATAACTAGAAAATTTAACTAATTGTGATATACTCCCCAAAACTAAACTAAGACAATTTACTAATCTGTGATATCTCCCAAAAAATACTAAGAAAATTTACAATCTGTGATATCTCCCAAAAAATACTAAGAAAATTTACAATCTGTGATATCTCCCAAAAAAATACTAAGAAAATTTACAATCTGTGATATCTCCCCAAAAAAATACTAAGAAAATTTACAATCTGTGATATCTCCCCAAAAAAATACTAAGAAAATTTACAATCTGTGATATCTCCCAAAAAAATACTAAGAAAATTTACAATTTGTGATATCTCCCCAAAAAATACTAAACAAAATTACAATCTGTGATATCTCCCCAAGAAATACTAAGAAAAATTTATTCCTCTCAATGGACGATGAAAAAAATTATGTCAAAAAATTACTTTTTTGGTGGCTAATAAGAAAGTTATTTCTAAAAACAGAATGAAGTATCAATATATCTTATAGTAACTAAAGGAAAAGTATTTATTAAAAAAAGTTAATTTTTCTAATGACTAATTCAAATTATTAGAGACAAAAACAACTTGTTTACTGGCTAATGATAAAGTGAGTGTAAAAAAAATTATATTAAGGTATATAAAAAAATGCAACTACTGGTAAAAAAATTCTGAGAAATATACCATAGAAAGTCTTCTTTCCTACATAAGCTACTGGAGAGATACATTTGATAAAAATTTACTTTCGCTACACTAGTAGAAAATTCTACTTTTTTTTTACTAGTTAATGAGAAACGTGTTATAAAACAAATTACTTATTATACAAGTTAATATAGTTACTGTAAAAATATACTAGTTAGTAAACAAAACTTTTTTATCTCAATTGTAACAATACACATCTCAATCACCTGATGTGTTTGTGTGTGTGTATGTGTATATATACATGCAATGTAAGTTTTCTTAGTATTTTTGTGGGGGAATGTCACAGATTGTAGTTTTGTGTAAATTTTTTACTTATCCATTTGAAAAAGGCATATACACACACTGAAAAACCGTTGTCAGAATATTTTCAAGCTTTTCTGAAACTACAGTATATTTAACATTTCATGGAGTTTTATTGTGGGTTGATTCAACGTAAAAATGTGGAATACTTTTCACAACTTACACTTTTAATCTTGTTTTCTTAACATAGTTTGTAATGTGTAGAAGATAAGTTAAAAGTTCTGATTAGAACAATATTGTGATCCAACATGTGAACAAACTGTTCTGAAAGAAAATAAAGATTATTTTGAATACTCATCTATAAAATGATTAAATTACTTGTACATTTCTGCCATAACTGTTTTTATACTTTCACTGTGTTAGTCCTGACGAAGTGTCACTCCCATTAAAACTGATGACTAAATGCTGTAGAAAATGCCACACACTATTAAGTTGGTCTTTCATTTTATGGTTAAGAAACGTAATGTGGAATATACAACTTACGAGAAGTTCTGATGTTTGTTTAGCCAATATAACAAATAATCGGCAATTACATCTTCTCCAACAAGATGGTCTTTAATCGTGGCTACAAAAGAAAACGTATACATATCATATCCAATAAAATTGTTCTAACTTCAATTGTGAACTATATTTTTTATGAAGATCTCTTGTATTCATGTTTAGTTTTGAAGTAATGCTATATCAGGTCTGGAGTGAATACATGGAGGGAGTGTTTAGCCTACAAAAAACACATTCAATGCACTGCCTAAACACACAATGATTGTTTGTCAATCCATTAATAAAAAAAAAGGGTGCAAAGCTTTATTTGTCAAAAAGTTACATATAACAACAGATGATAGAAGTTTAGAAAATGTGAAAACACCACTCAATTCAATATAAAAGAAAAAAACCATAAAATTATACAGACACTTAACTAAAAAACAACAACAACAAAAAACAAGACACCAATACCAGAAAAATATGATAACGGATGCAAAAATGGAAAGAAAAACTGCCTTGTTGGCTTTTATTTCTGGAGACTGCCAAAAACCAAAAGCAGTAATGTTTTTTTTTCTTTCTCATTTTGCTTACTCATTATCTTATAATTCTTTTAATGAATTGGTTTTGAATTAAGTTATGAACATGTAATTTTGTATGTTCTTTACATTTCACAGAAAAATTCTCCTTAATGTTTTTTAAAATCCAAACATTTGATACTCAAGTAGTTCTATTTCATTCCAACAGAAAGTCTATAAAAGTTGAAAATGTAGCAAATAAAATTTAATGTCTTATCAGGTCTTTATAGCTAGTAAAATCAACATTTAATTTATTAAATAAATTATATTTTGAACTTCTGTTTGAAAAGCTGTTAATTTTAGTATTATAAAAACATGAGATTTTAAAACCTCAGTCAAAGATAACCATAATATTAATCATTTTTATATACACTTCGTAAGTCCTTAAGCCTAATCTGTTTGAATAATATTCTTTTTACAAAGATATTAAATTTATCTTTGTGTTGCTGAATTTAACATTAAAAGTAATAATAATGTTTATGATTAAGAAACTGGAGGTATCAGCAGGATTGTTGCAACAACAGTTGTTTCAGTTGTTTAACCCTCTCTCCACGAGCATCTTTCTCTGTGTATGTCATGAGGTTTTAGTGAGTTAAATTCAAACTTTATATATCAATAAATATAGCATCAAAACGTTGTTAATCCATATTTTAATAGTATACAAGTTTTAAGTTCTTACTTTATCAGGCAATTTTAAAAAATAATACAGAATTTCTCCTCATGTGAGAATTGTGACATCTGTTCTCTAGGCATCCCCTCTTCTCTAATTTATTTACTACCCCTCCAAGAAGTACAAAATTTAATGTACATTATTTATTATAATATCATTATTGCTCAGGTAAAGCATGATTTTCATAGCCTTCAATCTTATTTGGTTAGAGAGCCATGAAATAGACAACCAGACCCCTCCTGCCACACCCACCTGTCACATCCTTTCTTTCAGAAATTGCCAATAGTTCTTTCTGACGTTCAATGCCATATTATTTATAACCAATAGAAATTCAAGGTTTATATCTATGAAATGATGTATTATATTACGTTGTTTTCTGTAAAGATAATTCTCAATATTGCTTTCAATTCAAGCTTGATTCCCACAGGAAACCTATCGATAAGCTTAGAAGAAGTTCTAACAGCTCTTGTTGCACAGTTAGAAAACCAGAAGAATTGTGATAGTTATGGGACATTGTCTCTTTTTTGCATGTTATTATTCTATGTTCTTTGGTACATTACTTAATAAAATAAAAAATCATTTAGTGCAGTACTACTGTTAGTATAAAAAGTAGGGTTGTCATCAACAGTCGACAGCAAAAAAATAAAAATAAAATAAAATACACAGGGAAGTCAGTTTTTTTTCTTGTTTTTCCTGTGTATTCTTTATTGGGTATTATAAAAGTAATTAAAATGTAAAAATAGAGAAATTAATAATAACAATATAATAAAAAATTTTTTCACAAGGTATGCTCGAGAACAACTCGCAAGCAGCTCATGCATAATTTAATTTGATAGCGTAACGTGAGCTGGACATTTGCCAAGTGATTTACAACTTATAATGGTCCAACTAATAATTAGACAGGGTTCAAAGGGCAATAAAACAATAAAATTGAAGTATAAATACACTGTTATAAGTTTAAAGCTATTTCAGATAAATAAATGTAGTTTCATATTATAATTTGAAGTCATTCTAGAAAGAAAAAAAAAAGTAATTTAGATTTGTTTGATTGTTTTTGGTGGTTATGAAGTCAGTCAAATTGACCAACCTTGTATAAAGATAGGGTAGAGAAAGTAACAAATAAACTATAAAGTTTTACTGAAAAAAAGTTTGAAATTTATTTACGAGGTTTTAGAGATTACACAAATAAAATTTTAGATTTTTGAGACAAAGAAAAGTATTTTTAATCTTAAAGTAGAAATCACTTTGCACTCGGACTAGCAAAAAAAAAAAAGCGATATATTCACTGACAAATCGTTTTTTTTAGTTTATTAAAGATACTTTACAAAAAAATCAGATTTTTTGTATGTAAAAGACTTGTAATGTTTATTCAAAGTCTGACAAATTTTGTGAAGATATACATACTATATTAAAAGTTAGTGGTATCAAAACTATAAAGACTTTAAATGAGTACAAAGTGTTCATATATTCAGTCAATTTGCATATGCATCCTGAGAAGCATGACATTGTAGAGCCGTGTATATAATGTTATGTTTTCACAGTCTGAGATAAACTGATTGAAATATTTTTTTGGACAGTTCTCAACAGATATGTCTATTAAAGATGAATCTTTCGTCCTGCATACTCAACACTTCAATCACCTTAGTTTTAAATAAAGATCACTTTTTCACATTGTGTTTGGTCTCTTACTTCAGACTCAAGTCAGAGAATTCAGTTTAACTCTGCAAAATATTTTCTGCTCAAATCTCTTGTTATTAACAATCTGTTGAGTGAAATAGTTTTTGTGAAAGTACCACAGCACCGTGCATCTTAATGTATGTAGACATATTGTTGTTACCTAAATAACAAAGTTTACACCAAAATTTCTAAATGCAGCAGCACCAATGAGTAAAAGAAATTTAATGCTTGTAGTTTTAAGTTTAACATACCACATAAGGCTAATCGAAGGCCCACCTCTACATTCTTTACACTTGGAGCTAATATCCCAGGGGTATCTAAAAGGTAGATTGGGGGATCTTCAGATATCTAAAGAAAAACATAAATATGTAAGAGTAATTTGTAGATGTATTTTCAGCTATAAAAAATAATCTTTCTTGAAGTTATTTTTGCAATACAACAAGAATTTCAACAAACTGTTCTTTAGCAGCTTTACAAACTACTGCAAAATACCATTCAAGATCAACAAGTTCTTAAGCTGCAAATTTTAATTAATTAATTTTTTCAATGAAAACTATAAAAATATCTTAAAAACTTAGCCTAAAGGTTTGTATACACAGTATCAAGGATAAAGATGGTGTCTCAGAACTTCTCTCTCTCCATACTCAAGACAACTGTCTAGGGTTGTCTGGTGTGTTCTACAATGAAAATATTTAAACTTGGATACTTTAGAACAAATATCTGACAACTTAATTTATTTAAATTTTACTAAAGAAATGACATTGATAATTTTGTAAAATTTTTGTCATATTTTTTTTCTTTATTTGGTATAAAATTATAATTACATCAATATAATAATTACTTCTAAAATGTAATGTCACATACAGCATCTGCAGTAGTAGATACAAAATGATTTCTGTTTTGACTTTCTAGCAGTATGTTGTATTTATTATAGGTTGAAATCTAGGAATATATATAAAATAATAATTTTTCAAAGTTCTTCTGTCTTCATTACGACTGTAAAATATGTTCCTAAAATTTAAGCTGTTTGACTTTTATTTTGTGGTAAACATAGACAGGTTGTCACAAACATGAACTATGCTGTGATACAAATAAGTAACCCGACTCACATACGTACCAAAAAAAAAGAGAGAGTGTTAAACTTACTTTGATTCTTTCCAATACACTTCTGGTTATTCCAGCCAAAGCTCCAACTCTAGAAGCCTTTCCTGAAAGGTGGAAGCTTTTAAATCAGAAAATTCCAATATAATACTCACTTTATGTACTTTGTTGCATATACACATGATACAATTTATCCACTATGTAATCTTCTTATTTTTTTGGCTTTAAAAATACATTTTGTCTATTGCTCACCTTTCATTGTTTTTAAGTATTAAGCCTCCCCACACCCTCAAAAAACAATTACTTTCAAAGAAGACAAGACAAACCATATTTCTATATACTTGCAATAACACAGTACTAATACGTTTCTGTTTTGTCTGCAAATAATGTTATGGAAAAGGAAAATAAACATCTAAGCTGAGTAACAACTATAATTATTACTCTTTGGAAAAACTATAGAATTTAATGCCCATTCAGAAGACATACAAAGAAGCATTTCATCCTTATTCAGTTATAAAATTTAATATCTTAAAGAATAAAAAATCTGTTTTAATCAAACTATAATATTATATGATAAAACCTCCAATTTTACATAATTTTTGTAAATTAATTAATAAATTCATTTTTTTTTATGCACACAATAGACTATCTTTACTGTCCTCACTGTAAGAATTAATTCCCAGATGGTGGCCCTCAAGTTTAGTCAAAAATGAAATAAGCTTTTAGTTTGTAAGTTTACCTTTTTTGAGATGACGATGCCTTAACATGTTGATCAAGGAAGATTTGCCAACATTAGGAACACCAATGGCCATCAAATGAAACTCCTTGGACTAAACATTATGAAATGAATACAAATAAAGTGACTATATAGAGCTTCATGAAATAAACACAATACAGTAAGAATGGTAAAATGCACTGGACTATAACCAATGAAACAACAAATTATTATAAATTCTCTGACTAAGAGAATGAAAGATACTTTTCAATGTTTTCAAAATGGGCCAATTGCCAGTATATTTACCTATCTGTTATCAATGTGCATATTCGCTACAAATCAATAACTTTGAATTTTTTTTTATAAAAATTCCTTTACGAAATATCCTGGTAAAATGTCTTTATATTCATCACAAACAAAATTAAAGTTCTTCAAATTATTTATAGCACTTCTAATATCAGTCTTACTTGGCTAGTTATTAATTCCTCCTGAGTATGATATGCATTATTTGATGGTGATGATAAATACAGCAAAGAATAAAGGCACGTTTTTTGAATTTTTCCAGCTTTTAAAACAGAAAGACATATGTACTTATGATTACAGCAAGTATTAAATAAATTTCAATTATGTTCATTACTAACTATTATTAACCAATTTTTTATATGAATGTGTGTTGTTAGGGTTTTTATGATACCCAAGGATCTCAGAAGTATAACAAGCTTCCACATAAAGTGATTAATTCACTTGATCTACTATCATCTTAGCTGTTCAGTAATATGTTTATGAAAGAAATTAAAGAACTTGTGTGGGTATGGCACATTTTTAATGACAATGATTTAACCTATGCTGACAATATGATAATATGGTCTGGAAAATAATCATTTTGGAAGGATTTAGTCAGATTTACACATAGTTCTGTGAAAGAAAAAAAAATTAGGTTTTTTGTAGTAAAATATGTTACAAAGTATTGCAATGATGTATAAAATATCTTCCTTAAAGATAAAATGCATTTTTGAAAAAAACCAGTTGTATAATAATTATTGAAAAATTATTTAATTATGCCTCAAAGAAATATTTCACTACTGTCATCCTTAATCTTTCATTTTGTTGAAAAACTGCTTTAATCCCTAACAAAACTTATAATCATTAGCTGTTAAACTTGACTGCACTTTGTTTCACAGTTCAAGTTTTTATCCTAACTCTTTGAGACCCAGGTGCATCAAAACTCATGCACCTGTTGTATGGTTTGTTAAACTGCACTGCAGGAAAATTACTGGATGAAATAGTTTGAAACTTCAGAATTACTTTCTACAGACTATGTAGCTTCTGCAATTAAAGTATCTTTTTTTTTTTTTGTTATAAGTGATATTCCTATGAATTTGAAACTTTGAAAATATTTCATTTGGTACCTTTTTTTAAGAAACAATTAAAAATTCTTAACTTTCTTGAAGATTTTAATTACTGATTTTTGTCTTCCTATATTATTTTAAAACTTTCATATAAAATATTTTATTTGATAAAAATTACATATTTTTAATTAAAAAAAACAAGGCACACAGTTTCACTGAAATTAGAATAATTGGTGTACAATAAAAATAACTTTTTAACCATGCCAAGATTATAGGTCAACTTTTTTGTAACTGTTAATCAGAAGGTTTGCTTTAATAAACATATCATGTTTTAAGCCCATTTTATACTTATTTACATATTTCTTTTTGGTAATTTTCTTTGCTCATTCAAGCACTTAGATGATCAAACCTAATCAAATAAGGCCTAAAAAAAACAGCCTTGTTGGCAAAATGAATCTTCATGTGGTTGAGAGCAAAATGATTTAACTAAACCTACCTCATCTAGTTTTACAAAAAAAACTTTCTTTTCCTATCATACTACAATATAATAATTCAAATAAAGTTTAACTTATAAAAAAAGCTTTAAAACAATTATCAGGACTGTAATTGTAGCAGTTGTTCACAGGCAACTGATCACCAAGCTAAACTGTTATTGCTTTGTTCCAACCTCTACACAAACTGCAGCTGAAATAAAAGTGTTACTGCTTCTACAGTTCCAAATGGAAAGAGAGCTTTTGTGATTTTTTAGATCAACAGCTTATGGCTTTCTGAAGCTGAGATCCAGGCAATTATACTACACCATGAAAACTGAAGTTGAGAAACAGTGACTTGCTAAAAATTGATAAAGCTACAATTGTTACCAGGACAAATTAGTGCCATTTTGTTGAAAGTATTATGCCTCAAAAAAATAAAAATTTCAGAATATTTTCACACTATAATGGTTTCAATAGGGGCATGCTGAGATCAACCCAAGATTAAAATTTTGATTTGTAAAAACTTTTATATAAATAATTAAATAAATAAAACTTTTATTGAGTAAGTTTCAATTCTGAAGTTCTTTGTTTTCTTTTTATGCACAGAAAAATGACTAAGCTTATGTTCTATATATTTTGTTAATTCAATAGTACATCTAGGCATCAGAGTTAAATTTCTCTAAATAATTTGCATTGTGTTGTCTTACGAATTATTAAATTTAAAACCTTACAAAAAAAAGTAAAAGATTTGTAGTTTGTGCTCTGTTCACCACGGGTATCGAAACCTAGATTCTAGCATTGCAAGTCCGCAGACATACCGCTGTGCCACTGGGGGTGAAAGTAAAAGAAATCAAGTATATTTTCAGGAACTTCTGGAGGGCTTTGCCCACCACCAGGATTAATACTCTGAACCAACCAGGGACCTCAGGAGCTCCCCAAACGCCTTGTCTACTTAGTTTCTCGTAAAATTAACAGGGTACCTTCTAATTTTTTTAAGTTTAAAGCCCTGTTATAGGAAATGAACTAGACTACACACAACAAAAGAATATGTCATGTGCAATCTTTGGAATTAAATTTAATGGAGATAAATTCTATGAAAACTTAATGGTCTAAGCTCAATTAAAAACAAGAAAGAATATTTTATACAATGAAAGAAAGTAGTATGTGATCTTTCTAGAATAGAATATAACAAGAAAAGAATAATAATATGAATCTCTTTGGACTAAAACAACTGAAATAAAAG